GTTGAGGATCGGAGGATCGGGGCACTTACGAAGAGTTTTGAACGAACACGAACGGAAAACTTTAAAATACAAAGGCAGGAGGTCAGGAAAGAGTACAAAAAGGCTAAAAGAAGATGGGAAGAAGAGTGGTGGCTTAAACTGGTAGACGAAACAAAGGACGCCGAAGTGAAAGGGGATATAAGACGCATGTACAAGACACTAAGGTACTTAGGGGGGAAAGACCTCCAGAACATAGAAGAAGAATTTTTCTCGCCAGAAGAGTTCAGACGACACTTCATGAAAGTCTCGGAAGACAGATACGAGCGGGACGTCATAGAGATAATGAGAACGGCATCGTCAACAGAAATTAAGGACTCTCCAGAGGCAAAGGCAGCAGCGGAAGAGATGGAAGAAGCAATAACCTTCGTGGAATTCGAACGAGAACTGGCGAACTTGAAAGACGGAGCGGCAGGAGTAGACAATGTAAGTGTTAGCGCAGTGAAAGCCTTAAGTATAGACACCCGGAAAGAACTATACCAATGCATGATGGAACAATTAGCCACACCGGTTGAGAACTGGGCCGACAAAGCTAAGGAAGGATGGGTCATACCCCTACATAAGAAAGGAGCTAGAAATGAACTCGACAACTACAGGGGTGTGTGCCTACTCCCGGTGTTGAGCAGGATAATGGCAAGGATACTAACGAGTAGGATTAGAAAATGGGCGGAGAAGATAGAGGCATGTGGTGAGAATCAAAATGGTTTCAGAGAAGGACGATCGACGTGTGACGCAACGCAAATCATACTGAGAATAGATGAGGAAACAAGGAGGGTATTTGGGAAGGCGGAGACGACCGGGAACAGACCGGGAGCTGTACTGTTAGATATAACAAAAGCATACCCCCGAGTCAACAGGCCCTTATTGTGGATGGTTTTGGAAAACTTAGGAATGACAGAGGGTGTGATAGAGGTCTTGAAAAACCTGCATGAAGGAACGAAATACAAAGTTAAGGGTCGAGGGGAACTAAGCGAGGAATGGTTACCGGTACGAGGTCTACGGGAGGGTTGCGCTACATCTCCGATACTTTTCAATGTGTATCACGCACAGGCGATGCGGTTAGCTGCCAAAAAACGAAGAGAAAAAGCGGCGGAGATAGGCGAAGAGTGCGGTCTAGAATGGTCGTGGGGACCAGGTAATAGTCTCCCTCCAATAGAAGTAAAGAGGGCCTTAAGGAGCAGCACCCAGGAAGTCTTTCGATTAGAAGAGTCCCTTTTCGCAGACGACTCAACTCTCCTGGGCTGGACGGAAGAATTAGCGGTCGGCAAAGAAACGGTCAAGGCGGAAATGATGAAGTTCGAGGAAAAATGTCACAACGGAAAAGAGGAATACATAGCTTTTGGAAGCGAGACAGCGAATTGTACGAGGATGTTAGGGACGCTAATAGGGAGGAAGCAGGACAAGGCAGCGAGGATTAAAAGGGGATACTGGGCGTGGTCAAAAGTAGGAAGATGGTTGTGGAAAACAAAGGTCAGTAAACGAACGAAGGCAATTATTGTACAGGCAGTGGTCGAATCAACAATGCTCTTTGACTGCAGTGCAAGAGCATGGACAGTGACTGATATGGCGAAGATGCAGAGCATGGCGGATAAATGCTACCGGTGGATATGGAATGAGGGGAGAGGTTTAACACTCTTGCGAATGGAAAGAGAGGGGTTCAATAGTTTCGAGATACGTAGGGTTCTGAGGATAACATCTATCAGAACAAAAATAGAGACGCGGGCGTTGGAAAGGATGGGCCACGTCCTTCGGATGAGCAACAACAGGACAACTAAAAAAGTTATACTAGGGCACTGGACAAACGAGAGAACACAACAGGGTAGGTTAAATGGAGGCGTGGTTAATTACTGGAGGCGACTCATAAGGGAAGCGGGAGAGGACTGGACGAATATAGAAAATTTAACACAGGTTCGGAAAAAATGGAAGGCGACAGTGAAAAGGAGAAAAGAAGCGCTAGATAAATGGGAGAGTGAAATGTGCAGATACAGGGGAGGGGAGAAACCTAGAAGGAGCCAGGCGAGGTATCAGGGAGAAAATTTAACATGCAGGTGGGAGGGATGCGGACGAATTTGTAAAACGAAAGGAGGTCTAGTGCAGCATGAACGACGAGTTCACAGGATACAGGAGAGGGTGTTTAAATGCGATAGATGCAACAGAACTTTCGCGGAGAAGCACAACTTAACAAACCACAGCAAGAGCTGTAAGGGGGACCAGATGGGTAGGTGTGGGGACTGCGCGGTGACGGTAACAAGGGGTAATATGGCGAGTCATAGGAGGAGTTGCGGAGGAGGGAGTGGAACGGTAGGGAACACGGCGGCGAGGGAGACGGGAGGTAACAGGTACACGGGGACCAGGGAGAGGAAAGAGTGTGGATCCTGCGGAGCCTGGATCACTGCTAATAACCTAGCCAAGCATGAGAGGAAGTGCCAGAACGAACCACCCAAGGCCCCCCGAGGGGCGTAAATGGGAAACAGAACAAGAAACAACGATATTCGATTAGAATAATACCCGTTTGAATAAGAAAATCGTTAAATTGGAAATAACTCCAAATTAATTAACAAATTAAGAAATTAACAAATTAACCCGACAAACGATAGTCCGACAACTTGAAATTTCCCACAAAAAATCAAATTTAAACAAATTGAAAAAAGCAAGTTTCGGCCGGGTTTCGACCTCCTGGCCTATGGATCCTAAGGCACGCATGTGCAGATACAGGGGAGGGGAGAAACCTAGAAGGAGCCAGGCGAGGTATCAGGGAGAAAATTTAACATGCAGGTGGGAGGGATGCGGACGAATTTGTAAAACGAAAGGAGGTCTAGTGCAGCATGAACGACGAGTTCACAGGATACAGGAGAGGGTGTTTAAATGCGATAGATGCAACAGAACTTTCGCGGAGAAGCACAACTTAACAAACCACAGCAAGAGCTGTAAGGGGGACCAGATGGGTAGGTGTGGGGACTGCGCGGTGACGGTAACAAGGGGTAATATGGCGAGTCATAGGAGGAGTTGCGGAGGAGGGAGTGGAACGGTAGGGAACACGGCGGCGAGGGAGACGGGAGGTAACAGGTACACGGGGACCAGGGAGAGGAAAGAGTGTGGATCCTGCGGAGCCTGGATCACTGCTAATAACCTAGCCAAGCATGAGAGGAAGTGCCAGAACGAACCACCCAAGGCCCCCCGAGGGGCGTAAATGGGAAACAGAACAAGAAACAACGATATTCGATTAGAATAATACCCGTTTGAATAAGAAAATCGTTAAATTGGAAATAACTCCAAATTAATTAACAAATTAAGAAATTAACAAATTAACCCGACAAACGATAGTCCGACAACTTGAAATTTCCCACAAAAAATCAAATTTAAACAAATTGAAAAAAGCAAGTTTCGGCCGGGTTTCGACCTCCTGGCCTATGGATCCTAAGGCACGCATGTGCAGATACAGGGGAGGGGAGAAACCTAGAAGGAGCCAGGCGAGGTATCAGGGAGAAAATTTAACATGCAGGTGGGAGGGATGCGGACGAATTTGTAAAACGAAAGGAGGTCTAGTGCAGCATGAACGACGAGTTCACAGGATACAGGAGAGGGTGTTTAAATGCGATAGATGCAACAGAACTTTCGCGGAGAAGCACAACTTAACAAACCACAGCAAGAGCTGTAAGGGGGACCAGATGGGTAGGTGTGGGGACTGCGCGGTGACGGTAACAAGGGGTAATATGGCGAGTCATAGGAGGAGTTGCGGAGGAGGGAGTGGAACGGTAGGGAACACGGCGGCGAGGGAGACGGGAGGTAACAGGTACACGGGGACCAGGGAGAGGAAAGAGTGTGGATCCTGCGGAGCCTGGATCACTGCTAATAACCTAGCCAAGCATGAGAGGAAGTGCCAGAACGAACCACCCAAGGCCCCCCGAGGGGCGTAAATGGGAAACAGAACAAGAAACAACGATATTCGATTAGAATAATACCCGTTTGAATAAGAAAATCGTTAAATTGGAAATAACTCCAAATTAATTAACAAATTAAGAAATTAACAAATTAACCCGACAAACGATAGTCCGACAACTTGAAATTTACCACAAAAAATCAAATTTAAACAAATTGAAAAAAGCAAGTTTCGGCCGGGTTTCGACCTCCTGGCCTATGGATCCTAAGGCACGCATATTACCCCTTAACCAAGTGCGAAGGTGTCTCGAAGGTGCCGAGGGGCTCTTTTTCTTTTCCTGCTTTCATTTTAATTTTTTTCTCTTTTTATAGTTGTTTTACGTGTAATTATGGCTAAACGCTTCAAGTTACGATGTAAGGTGTGAAGAACAAATCTGATCACAATTGTTAGTTTGTTAACCAATTTAAGTTTCATTGCATTCTGAGAATCTGAAAGTAGTTTTCCAAGTTAAAATTGTAAGGGGGAGAGGCAAAGAGCCTGTTAACGTTTTATAATAAAGGTCAATTTCTTGCGTTTGTTAACACTTTCCAGAAAAAAAGTGAAAGTGAAAAAAATCAACATTCGAAATGATTCAATGATCCAGTTTTTAAGTGTAAAAAAGTCCTGCTCCGATTTGATAGTGCTTCCTAATCGCAAGAGCAAAAATACAATTCGATAGGACCGAAATGCAATTTTATATTAGACATTCAAACAAGCGTTTGGTTCAAGCGAAGAACCTCCCCCCTAAAAGAATTAGAGGATGAGATCATTCAATTGGTTGAAAGAAATCTTTTTCAGCCTTTCATAATTCAGCATTTCGACTGACTGCATGAATTTGCCATTTGTTTTTAGAGGGGCGATCATTCACTTTTAGGGGGTTATCGTTCACTTTTAGGGGGTGATTGTTCACTTATCTGGGGGTGATCGTTCACGGTAAGTTTAGGGGTAAATTTCTCCTGGTGGTGAGCATGGGCCAAGCGGGGTGTTAATAAGAGACGTCATGGCGATGCATCAATGTGGCTCTTCAAAGTTGATAAACACTAACCTTTGCAGAAAGCAGCAACATGACAAACTTTTTGGCCATCACCGTAAGACTTTTATCTTTCTTCTCGCCTAAAACATTTGCAGATATTCGCCAAAATTATTCTATACCTATATGTATTTCATAACTTGGTTCAATTTTTGTGCAAATATATCAGATCACAATGTTAGTTTGCAGATGCAAGTGACGTGCACATAAAAACTTATATTAGGAGGAAATGACAAACAATTATGGGAATGTTGTTTCGAGACCAAACCCAGATTCATGCAAGATGAAATGAATGGTTATCAAGCTAAGCACTAATGAGGCTAAAAAGCTAATTCACAATTACTCGTACGCTACAAAATTGACTTGCACTTGATACGATATCTACTTACCAATCGCGGTTTAATAGTTCCCGCGGCGGAGCTACAAATCAACAATCAGTCAGTTCATTTTTAAAAAAACATTCGCATATTGCTGGCAGCTTAAATTCATTTTTAGCTCAAACATTCTATTTATTTTTAAATCATTATTTCTTTGATGAAACAGGACTCAATGCCCACGCTTTGGAATAACTGGAACTCATTCAAAATACCTTTATAAGTAAGTCTGGCAACTTTCTTTCTACGCTCCAGAAACTGAACTGCGTGGCTCACACAGTCTTCAATTCGCTCCGCGTTTGGTGTGCCACTTTCCCGAGCCATTTCGAAAAGCCGGACTTTCTCGATCTGTGTCGCAACACCGTGCCGATCAGCAACCGACTGTGAAAAAGATGCCACAATTATGCAAATTGAGAGACTCAGTGACCAAGAGCCACTTACAAAATATTTTCGAAATTACCCCTTCTACGTGAAAATTATTTGTAAGTCGTCCAGTAAAGCATATTTTACCCCAAGATTCGAATGTTTTTTCATCTGACAAACCCTTTTTTCGACAAAACTGCAGACTAATAGGGTAAATCTTTTGTTGAAAATGGAAAAAAAATAGACATATGTTAATTTTTATATTGTGAAGTTCAAATGAAGTCAAACTAGCTATTTCATTATTTACATTTTCCTATTCAAAAAGCTAGATTTATTTGAAAAACTTTCTGAGTATATTTTCTTTTCTTACGCCTTGTTGAATATACCTAATTTAGAGGACAATTTTAAACCCAAAAAAATTCATTGGCAACAGGTTAATCGGAACAGAAGCTTCCAAAAACTGGTCTTTGAAAGAATAAAATTTTACCAAATGCAAACAATTTTTTAAATATAATAAACAATATACAAAACAATACAATTTGGAAATATATAACTCGCCGAAAACAAACAATATACAAAACAGTCACACACAAAACAGTCCCAAATATCAAAAAAGTCTTAAAAATCAGTCCCATACAAAACAGTCCAAAACCAACTGAAGTTTTTGACCTTGATCTATTGGCGCCGACAGAATTGATTCAAGCTTCGAACTATCAAACATGAGCGTAATTAAAGCGTAAGATTCAAAGCCAAGAGATCAAAAGATCGAAACCCCGTCGGCACAAAAAGTTTCCAATTTTCCGAAAAAAATTGAAATTTGTGTATAAATAAAACAGGTATAAATCCGGTTTTAAAATGAGCTCAAACTTAATGAGTTGGGCGAGGGGAAAGGAAAATCAACACCTTGTATGTATATAGTATTTTGCCGATTTCGAATCGACTCAAGTTCACTTTTGAAAGATCAAGAAAATCATTTGAACTTGGAAAATCATTTTTGTTCGTCCATGAACTTCTCAAAGGAAAGGAAGGCACTGGAAAGGAAGGCTGCTTGCCGCTGACTAGTTTCATGAAATTACTGTTCCAACTTCTAGCGTTGTAGGTGCAAAGAAGGTAGTTTTTTTACCCTTTGATGACAAATCCATTGCTCTATGTCAAATCTGGGATTCTTTCGACCTTGAGAAAACAGTCTTCAAAAATAAGTGTCCTCAGAATAATTGAATATTGGTTCACTTTCTTCGGATGCTTGACCTTGAAGAAAACCAAAGGCAGCGCGGACGTCTTCTAAGGGCACAAATGCTGTTGACAGAAAAATTCGAATGAGCTCACAAAACTCAAGGTCCTAGTTGTAAATGTGTGTGGTGCCTGACGACTGAACATGTCACCAGACGTTTTGACTCACATTGAAGAAAAATATTGAATTGGAGCTCTCTGATGGGTAACTGTAATTGAGTTTCCCACAGCTGCTCCAAATTCAATTGTAACGCGTTTTGGGGACTCAAATTTTCAGGACATTGAGAAGTCGATAATAAATTGATTCCTTTTTGTCGGGAAGCAGAGCGTAAACGAGAGGTACAAGACATCCTTCAACTGAGGGATGTATAATTTATAAATTGTATAAATTTGGATCAGTCGAAAACTTTCCATCGCAGAACCAATCATCTGATAGTCCAAGTATGTCTAGCCCAGTCAAACATAACGTGGCAAACCGTGGCCTTTCTGTAGGGCTAGGTGTAATTCAAAGCCAGTCAGCAAAGTTAGCTCTGCCATTTCGGTCCTTTTTCGCGATGAACTCTATTTACAACTTGTTGTTTAGCAGAGTAACTTGTTAATTAACAGCTGTTTCACGGTTAACATCACGCTGGGCTGCAAAAATTGTCTGCCGTGGTGTTACATCCAAAACTGCTGCTTGATCTTTAAGCATTTTTCTAAATCAGCCGGATCGGGGTAGTGGCAATGATCTTAAGCGATCTCAACATAGTTCTCTTTAGTACAACATACGATTGCAACTGCTTTGTGAAAAGCAAACTGCATGTTTTTGACTGGGTTAAAGAAAGAGTCAATGTTTTAATTGTGTTAACTTGTATGATTCGCGGATTATTGCTTTCAATGAGTGCACGTTTTTCTCGGTGGTTTTATATTCTCTGCTATATTACCAGTTATTATCTGGATTAAGCAGAATCAAAAAAATTAAATCTGCGCGAAAGTTTATCAACGGGACTGTTTTTCGGACTATTTTGTTCAGGACTTTTGTACTACACAATTTTTTACAGACACGCCTCGAACACATTTCAGTGAAGGCAATATCAACAGAATTCCAAAAAGAGAGGAAGAATGCACGGCCAAATCTGGACATTTGCCAATCAGTCGACAAAATTTCTCGAAATATTTAGCCAACCAAAAGTAACTTGAAATTCTAATCTTAACTTTGAATATACCTTTTCCATAGCTGACATTTGAACCTGTGCATAAAAATGATGCCTGAAAAACTTTTTAACGTATAATCAATATACAACCTTTTAGTCTTGCATTTGTTTATCTTCGATTAAACTTCTCACACTTTTGTCAACTACAAGCAACCAATTGACCTCGAAACAGCACAAGCGGAAACTAAGTACAAGCTTTGAAGAGATTTAAGACAGAGAAAAATGAATAGGAAAACGTAGTATTTCCATTGTTGAAAATCTTCAATCCAAGGAGGGCTCTGAAAACTTCATCCCTCACACACATCATATTGAAGAAAAAAGCTGGAAAAAGTTTCAAAAAACTGAAAACCAATTTAAAAAAAGTAATAAAATCCCCTCATCCTCAAAACACACACATACTAAGCTAGTTGAACGACGCAATATGAGGCCGCATAGCCGATATATTATATACCGAAACATTAAGTCGAAAACAAAAAAAGACAAAAACCGGAATTTCAGAAAATTGTAGACTAATAAAAAGTAATTAAATCCCCTCATCCTCAAAACACACACACACTTAGCTCGTCGAACGACACAATATGTGGCTACAAAGCCGATATATTGTATACCGAAAGATATTAAGCCGAGAACAAAAATTTAAAAAAAACAGAGGAAAACAAAAAAAATAAATAATAATTAAAAGTCCACCTCACCCACAAAACACCTACAGGCGAAAAAAAAAACAATTTCGCTCGTTCACCGATATACCGCAAAAAAAAAGGCCACTAGCGATAAATTAAAAACAAGATTCAAACAGCATGACCCTAAGCAAATAGCAAAGAAGACCTCGAAAGATGAAATTGAGAAACTAGAGAAAAATATTAAAAAACGAAAAAGTTGTCCATGACTAAGTTTAATTACGTTTTCATACAGTTCCTTGTACAAATGGCATTCCAAATTTAGAAGAAAGCTGCATCTAGTCAATGAGTGTTACGAGATCAATGCCTACAAAAATAGCACAGAGGCGAAGCTGTGCTTCGCAAACACTTGCAAGAACACGACAAACAACAGCTCTATAAAGTGCAATAGGAAAAAGTAGAAATAAGCCTCGTATAACTAAAAACTCCGATAAGTCTCGGATTCAAACCTAAGACCTACTGCCACCTAGAGATTAAGAATCTCAAGCACTAACCACGAACGCTAAATTGAATCCAAAGACTAGCCACAAACAAAGCAGAGAACAGATGCTGTGCAATTTCCATGCTACAGTGAAACTTTCAATTAACACTTTTATTAGCAAATTAAGTAAGATAAAAAAGGTTCGTAGCAATACACTACGCTGATGGCTAGTGTAAACAGACGGACGACAAAAAAAAACAAACAGAAATTTAAAAGTTTTTCTCTGTTGATTGAATTTGAACTTGTAATAAAGCAAATTGAAACACATGTAACAATTAAAATTCAATTGTTTGTTTCAACTTGCTTTGCAATGAATTCAAATTCCAGTGTATCTGACGTAGAAATAACAAATCTGCTTAATGACATTTTGAACAAAAACGACCTGGTAGTTTTGTTCATGAAACACTTATTATTGAATTCTGAGCTCTCTGCCACCATAAAAAAACCCTATTTTGACCAAGTTTTCTACGCCTGAGGATTTTTTTGAGAAAACGGATCCAAATGCCGCTTTTTGGCACTTTTTGAGAAGAAATTGACCGAAGAAACGCGTTTTTTTGGCGCGCGCTCCCTTCAAAACAAGTATAGGGGCGCCGATTCAAAGAAATTCGCAGTAACAAACATTGCATTAGGAAACGTATTTTGATGTTGAAAAAGCATCTTGACTGAACTGGCAGCTGCTTAAATTGGAGATCCTGAGAAAAGAGCAAACATCTTGTACCCGGTTCCAACGAACTTGCTCATTGGAAGGGTAAAGAGAGTTGTACCAGGTTGAAGCAACATACAAGAACATTCTCATCCGGCATGGATAGATCAAACTCCATATAAAACTTATTATGTATTTATACATCATTTGTATTTTGATATTCTGTAACGTTAATGTGTACTGGTCGATTGACCTTGAAAGCGAAGACGAGAACGGCAGTTTAAGTGAACTACGGTTCAGGAAGAGAATTAACGTTAACATTAACTAGTTGTTTTAACTTCTCTCTCTCTCGAGCACGATATTATCTATCCATACGGATTCAGGAATTAGCAATTCATACCTTGAGGACTTAGCGGTATGACATGGCGCAACCACCAGGATTTTCGAAAAACCCTCTAAGCATAAACCTATTCTGGAAACGAGCATCGGCCGAACCCCCATTCGAGTGGACAAAATGGGCGTCAATACTGGAAATGGCAGTATTCGCAAAAAACGGCATCGAAATTCGAAATCTCTTACGAACAAGACCACAATTAGTAGAGCCATCTGAACCAGTATAAGAGGTCGAGATAACCGGTGAGACGTAAGCCCAAAGAAAAAACCGAGAGGTAAGTAATCAAGAAAAAAGAGTGGGCTGGGAAAACCACGATC